AATCGCCTGGTCTCGCATTCTTCCTTCTGGAATATTGTTTGGATCTCTTTTTGGAATTACTACAATTCCTGGCACGCCCATCTGGTTCCATCAGAACCGGCTGCTTTTTCAAGGCCAAACAGAATGTATATATGTTTATTTTTGTATTTTCTTATTACTACAAATTGATCATTTTTTATAACACTATTTTTGTTATATATATACAAGATGAGAGGAGATCATAAAGCACTCTGAAATGTTTCCAAACATAGTCTTCTCGGTTTCTTCTCTTTCAACACTAATTTCAACGCTTAATATGAATGTTTAGGAAATTGCGAATTTGAGATGCTTTCAATATAGGGGTGGCAATTGGGTAGGTTTGGGCGAGTTTGGATTAGGTTGGGTATGAATGGGTCAGTAACAAAGGCTGATGTAGGAATAGGCTCCAAAAAAAAAAAATTATTTTTTAGTATAGGAAATTTTAGCCCCAAAAAAAAAAAAAAAAAAAAATTACTAGTGTTAGCTCATCCAAAAAAATATTAGCTTGCCCCATTAACAATTCCTGGATTCACCCTTGGTCAGTAACCCATTCTCAACCCATCAATAATGGGTCATAAATGGGTAAGGACTAAAATGGGAGGAGCAAAATGGGTTAACCCATTCCAACCCATTTTTTTTTTCAACTTTTGCAAAGTTTTTACTTTCCTACCATCCATGGCTAAAAAAAAATTAATAATTTGTTCTTACATTAATTTTTTGATTTCAAGCATTGCATATTTTTTCTTTTTTCCTTTGGGAAAAGTAACTATGCATCTTAATCAACAATATTAATTATTTTTTTGATTTCAAGAGCTGCAATTTATTTTTTTTAATTTATTTTGAGAAAAGTCACTGTACAACTTCTTCAACAGTATTAATTACATATATTTTAAAAAAAAAAAAAGTAATTTTGAGCAAGAGTTTTAATTAATTGTTGATCATTTATTTTATACAATAAAACAAAATTTGAAGGAAGAATGAAGAGAAAAGGAGAGAAAGTTATCTCGAAAAGAAAAAAAAAATGACAAAAGAAAAGAACCAAGAGGAGAGAGAATGCAAAAAAAAAAAAAAAAAGCAGCCAGGTGAGAGAACGCAGGAAAAAATAATAATCATAATAATAAAGAAAAGAAAAGAAGGAGGGAGGAGAGAGAAAAAAAAGGTGAAAAAAATGAAAAAGATAAAAGAGAAGGATGGAGGTAGAAAACGGAGAAAATGGAAGAGAGAGAAATTGAGGAGAGAGAAAATAGGGTTTTGTTTGAGTGGGTTAAGATGGGTACACACTCTTAACCTATCATTGACCATTGAATTGTATGGGTAACCATTTTTTACCCATTGTTACACAGTCACTTAAATTTGGATACCCAAATAATTTAATTTTAGTTAACAGATCTGGACAGTTTAATGGGTTTGAGCTTAAATTGCCACCCCTAATTTAAAGCAATAAAAATATAGTAGCTAAAATGTTTTACTTGCAGTACTTATAATATTAAGGGCAATATAATGGAAAGGCCTAAATTAACTGTTTGTGGTCACTGGATTGATATGAATTTACATTTTTGTCCTTAGAGTTAAATTATTCGTTTAATGAAGAAATGTAAAAAAATTTGTATATTGTTAAAGTTACGGTTTTGCCCCTAACCCATCACCAAGCATGGATTTTGGGTTTGTGGTCGCCGGCAAAGATGGATTTGCAACGACAGTCGTATCGAACCTCATTGGAGTGAGACGCCAACTGACCGTCGAGATAAACTGAACCACTAAACCTTCAAATCTGACCTTTCATCACCCATTTTCACGCCGGGTTTGAATCAAAACTTGTTATGGGTGGTGCTAGAGATTGCAACATCACTGCAACCACCGGTCTTGATTTGCAGGTAGCGGCCACGGGTTTACCAAATCGTCATCAATAAATTGATTTGCAGCAGTGGTGGCGACGAAATAATTTCATGCCTTCAACATGCACTGGTAACGGCAAATCGTGTGCTCTGCACGCCCCTTACGCCGCGGTAGTCGTCTTCTTCCTCAGATCGCCAATTTTTTCCTCCACATCTTTCCATCAAAACCCCCAATTTTTCAACCCAAGAAGGCCAAGGATGATTCTTGACTTCCATTCGCACCAAGATCAGAGTACAATCCCATCTTTTTCCATCAGCGGCGCGTTGTTGGTGGTGAGAGTTAGGGTTGGGTGATGGATGAGCAGAGGGGCATTGCAGCGTTAGAGAAGAGAGTTAGGGCTGCAACGTTGGTGAGGTGGGATTTGGGTGATGGATGAGCATGACTGATGGATGGAGTTGAGGAGGGGTGAACTGGGGATGATGATGATGATGGTCTGCCATCGTCAAAGCCGGATCCTTCTCGCCGTGCACTGCCGTAGTTCATCTACAACCGTAATTGCCGCGAGTCATCAACGGCGATTCAGTTCTACCGTCGTTCCGAGCCATCACTGCATTTCACTGTTGAAAGTCCTTTTGCTCAGCAGTGTTGTCGTTGTTTGTGGCCGTGTGGTCGACTTGCCTACCACCGCGTATACCTGATAGGGGCATTGAACATGCCAGGGCAACAGAAACACACTAGTCTGATAAGACCCACCTGAACAAGGGGCGAATTGTACCGGAACATGGATGATTTTTCGGCAACTTGGCTCGGTGTCATCCTAACTTCTTCGTCTCCTTGGAAATGCATAATTCGATTGATGTGTTTAGAGAGAGAAAAGAGGAGTGATGTGGTAGGGAAGCGATGATATGGTAGGGAAGCCATGGGGTGTACTCAGGGGCAAAAATGAAACTTCCCAATATACAATATCTTTTATTTTTTATTAAAAATAAATATTTTAATTTTAAGGTCAAAAGTGTAAATTTATATTGATTTTTTGTAGTCAAACGGTCAATATGCACCTTTTTGTAATATTACTATAACTTCTATCTATATGCATAATATAGAAACCTCGTGGGTGGTTTGTGTAATTTGCCCTAATATTAATTGCAGCTGTAACATCACCACCAGCACAAAATGCTTTTCTATTTCCCTGCATTTTGAAATTTGAGATGGAAAGACGCATTTTAGTGAATCAAATCACAATAAACTCAGAAAGCAACTTGAAAAAAAATAAATAAATAAAAAATAAGTTTAAGAGCAGATTGCAGGCATTCACATTTTAAGAAAGCTTCATTTTAAGAAAGCTGCATTGTAAGGCAGCAGGCTCACCAACAAAGCATTGCTTGATATTGCCACCATATTTCAGTTTATTGAAGGTGTAGTGTATTTAGAAAGAAACTTTTTATGTTTGTTTGTCACAGACTCAGTTGAAACCACAACTCCTTAATGCAAATAAATGAAAATTGAACTTCTAAATTCTCTCAATAATAAAAAGTCAAATGGAAATTTTGGAGAAATGCTCTTATTTCTGAAGTATATGCATGATCAGCACACTTGTAATCAATATTGGATAATTTAGATTAATCTAGAACAACCATTATTATTCGAAGGAGTAAAAAAAAAAAAAAAAAAAAAAAAAGGAACAGTCACTATTGTCCCGGACTGCAAGGATGTGCTTCGGAGAGATTTTCTCTAAGGCTTGCAACTTGCAAGCACTAAAATTACATAAAAATAAAATTAAAAAATTGGATGGAAAGGAAGGAAGAGTAGAAGGGATGAAAGACATCCTTAGAGTTTGATCGTGTCATTGTGAATTTCCTTGTTTTTATTCGGTTGGTTAGAAGAGTAAGGTCATAATTTATTGTGTTCATAAAAAGAGAAGGAAATAGAAAGTTTTATTGTTATTACAATTATATCGAATAATATTTATACTATTGCAATTTATAGCGGGTATTAGTGTAATTTAAAATTTGTATAATTTATGATAGTATTTACTTTAAAACTTTTATAATAATCTATTTCTCTTCTATGCTTTCTATAATAATTCATTCTTCTTTCTTTCCTTGTATATCTCTACTTTCTTTCCTAGTATATCTCTATCAAACAATGAAAGTTTATTCCTTCATTTCTATTTTTTCTCCACACATTTTCTTTCTTTCTTTCTTACCGAACATAACTCGATGACCATTGGAAGGGAGGGCGCATTTTGCCCAATTAATATATTAATAGTTTTAAGGAATTTTTTATTTTATTTTTGCAAGTTGTCATATGTATGATCAATTATTTGGTTGATCTCATTTTGAATGATCAATTATTTGTGTACCCCCACATGCAACCAAAGTGAAATCTCGGAGCCAACACAATCTTTCTCGGTGGAGAACAATTGCCTTTTAGGTTAATGACGTCATCACCTGTTAAACAAAAATTAAAAATGGAAGCTACTTGTTTCAAGCAATGCAAATCTTTTCTCTAAGGCCAGATTTAGGATCTAACCTAAAAAGAATCCCTTCTCGTGCTTTATATGGCACTGAATTTCTTGCTTTCTATATTCCAATTGGTCAATTGTTAATATATTCTCCAAAAATTAAAAATAAAAGTAATTAATTGTTGCTAACGCCTGACCATCAATTGGGCTCTCTCATATATAGTTTTGGCTTTGTATTTTCTTTTATTATTATTAAATTTTGTCCCAGGTTTTTTTTGGTAAGTAATGATTAATAACTTTATTTTAATTCATTCTCTTTATTCTTTGCTCTCAAAATTATAGAGAGAGAGTAAAATTTATGGGATATAGAAATTGGCATCGAAAAGAAACTGTACATGGGTAAGCACGTGCTAAATGGAGTTAATGTGTTTGTATGCATTGTGTGTAATTGGGTTGGGATAGGAAGATTGTGTAATTCTATTTATAGTTATTAATTATATTTTTGTATAAAAAAATTAAAATTTCTATTTTTAAAAATTTCTATTTAAGGGTGATTTGCAAATAAAATTACTTATATCTCTATGGTAATTAAGGGTGATTTGCAAATAAAATTACGTATTACCTTTTTAAATTTCAACAAATCATATTAGTATGGATTTTTTAAAACCAAATCTAGAAAAAAAAATCCTTTTTTTTGTCTGTAAATTTTAAAAATAAATCTCTATTATAATCTAATGTATTGTGAAATTGTTTTCTCAATCCAAATTATTACTAAAAAAATAAAAATAAAAAAATTTCCGCAATTAGGGATACAAGTGGCGGTTACTTGCCGCCAGTCCTCAATTCTTTGACACTTGTCCTTAGAGGGGGACATTAAAACGATACAAAATTGAAATTACCAAAATGCCCATGAGATTACATGTAAAAACGTGCCTATCTCAAACGGTATGTTCAGTCCATTTCTGGCTCTTTCGTGCTTACTTCCCTCGGACTCTACGCCTCTTTTTCGCCCCCAATACACCCAAAGTCACTCTCACTGTACTGCTCTCTCTCTCTCTCTCTCTCTCTCTCTCTCTCTCATGCTTGAACAATCGACGTGGTCATTCTCAGTTTTTCCATACTTGTGCGCAGTCCTATCCTTCTATCTCATCCCCGAGATAGTATTTGAGTTTTCGTAATTTTATATGGTATATACAATTACTTTTTGAGTCATTGGAAGGATCTAAATCCACTTGACCCACATGCAGATTTTGGGTAATTTTTGTTTATTATTGATTGCTTGCTCTGTTCATGATTTCTTTAAGAGATTTTTGGAAAATTTTCTGGGGTTCCTCTTGATGGAATATGCTCCTATTTTGAAGTTATTCAATGTGTTGGGTCTCTGTTTGTTGCTTGGTTTTGGGTTCAAGGTCTTGAAATATGGGTTTCACTGCAAGGCTTTGTTTCAGTTCCTATGTGATTTTAGAGGGAAATCAAGGGATCTGAGAAATGGGTTTAGTTCAGAAAATGGTAAGATTTTATGTTGCAAGTGTGGATTATTGAAATTTATAAAGAATTCCGACACACCCCTGATTGAAGAATTGGAGGAAACTAAAGAAATTGTGCACAGTAATAGAGATGTCAAAGCAAAGATTAGTTTGGATGAAAATTTTGATGATGATGAACAAGAGTGTAGTAATGATGAAGATGAAGTAGTTGATGTTATGTCACTGAGAAAATTGGTCAAGATGGAAAGAGGCAGAGCAAATGTTGCTTATTCCGAACTTGTGAAGGAAAGAATGGCAGCTGCCACTGCTGCTGAGGAGGCAATGGCAATGATTTTGCGCCTTCAAAAAGAGAAGAGTTTGATCGAAATGGAAGCTAATCAATACCGTAGATTGACAGAGGAGAAGCAATTCCATGATCAAGAAGTAATTGAGTCATTGAGATGGATTGTATTACAACACGAGTCAGAAAGGAGTCTTTTGGAAGATCAGTTGAGAATGTACAGTCAAAATTTTCAGTTATATATGAAGGGTGATGAAGTGGATGAATCTCATAGGGATGTTGACAATTCTATCTGTTACAACATTGAGGATGGTCTTGGCGATGGGCTAATTAGCTCTCTTGACATGGGTCTCTCACCACTGTAAGTTCTTGAGCATTTCTTGTTTCATAGATTGATATTAGTTGTCTTATCAAAGTGAAGATAGCATTTTGAAAATATACCTAGTGAATTAGAATTTTTGCATTATAATGTACGTATCTCCAAAATTGTGTATTCGTTTTATTATTGTAACATTTGAAATTTGAAACAGAATAATTAATGAGGCGATAGTAATGATGGAATCGAAATATTGCAATGCATTTATTCCCATTTAGAAATATACTATCTGTTTATTTGGCAATTGATTAACTCTTTGAATGGAGTCACTGTAATAAGTTTTTCCTACGTCAAGAACACTCCAAATTATGGCTCTATTTGTTTTCGTAGAAGTTGGAAGGGTGTAAATTGATTGGTTTTTGATAGAAACTGGAAAACTTGGAAATCTAATGTGCTTATAATTGTGATTTTCGGAGGACTGCCTCCCCAAAGAAAGGAAGTTTTTTTTCCCTTCATTTGAGAGCATTAGAGAATTTTGCATTGCTGAACCTCCATTTGGAATTTCAGAGATACCTTTGGAGAGAATTTTTGTTTAGAGACAACTATTGTATTTTAGGTGTGAAATTCCATTTCGGCCAAACTATCAAGTACTTGTGTTGCAAACTCAAGGGCAGAGCGAGGTAGCTGCAAACATCTCTTTGATCTACTTTCTCCCATAGTAGCAGGTTTTTAGATGGAGACATAAAGAAGGACACCCACAACCGATTAGACTATGCCAATAGTGGGGCTTTTAAGCCACGAGAAATCAGTCTATTTTAGAAAAACTTCTATGATCGGCAACAGGAAGGGCAATAAATGATTCGTAATCCTGCTTCGTTGTTACAGAAGATCTTGCTCACTCATCGTAAGACAGAGTCTTGACATGGATTAAGGACCAGTGATGAGATATTTATCCCTAACTACTGTGTAGATGAGTTCAAATATGGCAATTGGAATAACTTATAGCAGTCCTTTTTCATTTGGGTCTCTGAATTAAGAAATGAAAAACCATATTTTATACTTGGGAATGTAAATTATATGAGATACTCTTGCAACGAAGGGGTTTGCTATTTTTTATGCTCATAACTTGAGACGGTAACTCAATTTTTTTCCTTATCACCTCAAGTTATCTCCAAACTGATTGCTTGTTGAGCTGTTGTACGTTGCTGCATTACTCTGCCAAGAATTTGCCATAAGATATTAAAAAAACAATGGAAAACCTTCATTTTATATTTTGTTTGTTTGACAATCTCTTTTTGGCAGCCAAATTATTGCCTTCTTTCAGTTTTTTTCTTGGATTTTACAGTTTCTCGCTTTTCTTAGTACCGATTTCTTTGTCCATGAAGTCAAGCCTTCAATTGCCTGGTTTTCTTTTTACATTTTGGTCAGTAATCATTTATAGATTCTTGTAACATTGAAAAGATGACCTCAGTTCATGGTAGTTTGAGAAAGCTATTTGGTTTAGCATAAGTTTCTCAGTTCAATATGGACAGAGAGCATTTCTTTTTTTTTTTTCTTCTTTGTTATGGATAGAGAGAGCTTGTGTACAGGAAACAACTTAAACACCAATCTATCAAAATATTTTCTGTTAAAGTGGAATGCTTCCCGTTGTGGAGAGTGAAAATGAGTACATCTATTCATAGATGAGAAATGCAATCTACACAATGTTTAAACTTTCTCATAATGAAAAAAACTCTTTATGCTTCAATTGTCTTGGCACATTGTTTCACCCTACTACAGACTTCAAATTGTGCTGTAGTATTAAATTTGTCTGCAATCTATGTTAAATGGTTGGCGGTGCAAATGTGTACCATTCGTTGCCCATATTTGATTTTTCTGTTTTTAGAACTTCTGGAATGTATGTGACTGATCTTTCACCACTGAAAACATGTTCGAAAGAGATGCCTCATCACTAAAAGTTGAGCCTACAAGAATATGGTAGATGAATGAGATGAACAAAAGAAGAGTATTGCTATACATAGGGTTTAATTATACTTTCTTTTTGTTTATGATATTAAATTGTAGAATAATTTCGACCTAAGTCCCATAAATTTATATGAGTTTTGATGTGGGTCCTGATAAGGGCGCAAAAAACCATTATTTTATATACTCAATATATATGTATTATTATTATTTATAGTATATAATTACTATTATATATATGTTTTATATTTTACTTGTAATAATTAGAGAAGGAGAAGAAAGTAAGCAAAAATGAAGAAGTGGAAGATGGCTGCAAGGAAAAGGTTATATAGTTTTTCAGCCAATTACTTAACGCGCATTGGCAAACTCTCTTGTTATGGTGCAAGTGATCCCAAGTTCGAACCAAGTAGCATTACATGTTAATTTCCAAAAAAAAAAAAAATAATAATAATAATTAGAAGAAAGCTGGGAAAAAGAATAAAGAAGATGATGGGAAAATAGGAGAGAGAAAAGTAAAAAAAAAAGTAAAGAATGCAGAAAGGAGGAGAGAGAAAGAGAATAAAGAATAGAAAAGAATGGGAAGCATGCGGATGGGAAAGAGAGAAAGAAAGGCGTGGGAGACCATGCTGCAGAATTGATGGGCACAATGTGTGTGAGAGAGAACACTGAATGTGTGTGTGCTTTGCCAATATAGCGGATGCCATTTGGAGAAGAAAGGGAGCCTGGTTCGAGTGTTAACAGTAGGGATAGGTTGCTCCTCCAGAGAGCTGCTCTGAGGAGCAAGCTGCTCGATGCTTGTGTATTTATTTTTCGCATTCTCTTTCAATTAATGCATTATGTTTTGCCTATATAACGGCACATCGAGAATACGAAAAATAAATACACAATCATTAAGCTAGCTTGTCCCTCAAACACACACCTTCTTCTTTTCTTTTTCTTTTTTTTTTTTTTTCCTTTTTTTTTTTTTTTTTTACTGGTTTAAATATTTGTACTAATTATTTTTAAAATAATGAACTAAAGTTAATTGGCTGATATTGTGGATAGCTGTATCAAATGGAAGAAATTTGTTACTAGAACTTCTTTGGCTGGTAAAATTGTTTCAAATCTTGAATAGTTTTGATTAAGTTTCGTGGTATATTTGCTTGCAAAATGTCATTTCAATAGCTCATGGTAGCAGCGTTGTATTTTTCTTTCTAGTCTTCAGTTATTTGGCAGTCACTATTTACTTACAGAATCAAAGTTACATTTCTTGTGAAATAGGATGTGCAAAGCAAGATTTAATTTGCTTACATAATCAAAATCATTTGGCTGAGCCACAAACACACAATTTGCAAGCATATCCTTGCATAATTAAATTAAATCATCGTAAACACAACTCATTTGGCTGCTCTTAGAAACAATGGTGCCATAGGATAGAAATGGTGAAAATGTAGGAATAGTTCTTCCATATGTTGGCATAGGCATCTTTGATGGAAAAATGGGCAATGGTGCCTCAAAATTTAGGGCATGAATTGCTTGCTTAATTGAAGGCCTGAGATTGCTATCTGGTTGAGTACACCTCAGGCCAACAATCATCAAGCATTCCATTTCTCTCTCATCGAAATCTGAAGATAATTTGGGGTCGGCTGCTTCAAGAAGCTTTCCCATTCTGTAGAGTTCCCAGACCCACTCTATCAAACTTACCTGACTCTCTTCTCGAGCTCCGGGGTCAATGGGTTTTCTTCCACATGCTATTTCTAATGCTACAACTCCAAATCTATAGACATCTGATTCCTTACTGGCCCTGTAATAACACAATCAGGAGCCATGTAGCCAATGGTCCCTGCCAAAACTGTTGTTTGTGATCCTTTTTCGTGGTCAACAAGCTTAGCTAACCCGAAATCCCCAAGTTTGGCATTGAAGTTGGAATCCAACATAATATTGCTTGATTTTATGTCTCTGTGCACAACGCATTGTTCCCCTTCTTCACAAAGATGGAGAGGCCAAGCCTCTGAGTAATTTTGTACCTCACAGCCCAAGTTAACAGGGTTTTCTCTCTGAAGAGATGGGAATCTAAACTGCCACTAGGCATGAACTCATATACAAGGCAAGAGCTCTCTTCTTTCATGGCACCAACCAATGAGTTGCTCTAGGTTTCTATGCCTCAATCGACCAATGATCATCACTTCTGATGCATACTCCTTTAGACCCTGTCTAGAACTCCTTGACACCCTTTTCACAGCAACATAGGACTTCAAGTCCCGCAAGAATCTTTTGTAAACCCCACCCAATCCTCCCTCTCCAAGTTTCTCTTCCTGCACGAACTTATTGGTGGCACGAGTCAATTCCTTGTAAGAAATCTTCCCAGGTCCCGTACCTCTTTCAAATTTGTAATCCATGGACACATCAAAGAGATAGGGTCACCTTTGTTTTGATCCCCGCTCCTCTTTTTCCAAAATATGATTAAAACGAAACTCAATATACCAGCCAAAATGCCTCCACCAACAGCCAATACAACCACCAATTCTCTCTGGCTTTTACTTGGCTTGGAGTCAGGAATGGGGCCTGGTGCGATTATCCCCGGATCTGTTGGATTTGTTGTGTTTTAATCAATTCCTAATGTTGAACTGAAGTTCCATTAGTGTATACTATGTATAGCTGTTGCACTTCCTGTTGCAGCTGAAAAGCCAAATGTAATCCATTCCGGCAAGTAGTCCCTTAAATCAACTTTGTAGTGAAGCCTTTGTTTGAAAGTGTTATTCCTTCTAAAGCCAGTGAAGACAACACTCAGTGTTTTTTGAAACAGAATTGTAACTAATGCAAGCATCATTTACTTTCCCCTCTGAAATACTGTTATTAATCCACCATGACACAGTAGTGGCAGATTTCATAGAGTTGATGTCAATACCTACATGGCTGAATTCCGGGTCCCAGTAGTTCCGAAAAATATCGAACTCAACTGCAACAAATGGATTTTCTGTTGAGTTGAGTGGCTGGATATCATTTGTGAGGCCTATACTGCCACCGTTTGTTGCATTATCAGGGATTTTTGATCCTGCGGGCGTGAGGAAAAATGCAAACCCATCACCATACGGTGTTGTGTAATTCGATTTGATGACAAAACTGAAGTGGGTAGTGAAGCCTGCTAGATTTCTTGTGGCCTTGTCCCAAAGCTGCATCGGCTTGGAATATGTGGCTCGGCCAATGCTTGTACCCATACCTTCGTCACACTGGTTCAAGGTAAGATGGATTACATTGTTTGCTGGATAAGCAGCTCTTTCATAGGTTATGTTTAAATCATTGGGAGCGAAGCCATTGAAGTTAAACGACAATGGAGCTGCAAAGGGGTTGATTAAGAAAAAGAAAAAGTTTATGATCATGAGGAGAGAGTGATTTGGTGTTGGAGATAAGTCTCATAATTTGAAACAACCATGGCTACAAAGATGTTTTTTTTTTTTTTTTTTTTTTTTTTTTTTTTTTTTTTGTGCTATATATGCTTTCAAATTGTTATTTGAATAGCTTATGGTAGCTAGTTTTCACTTGTTATGGATTCATTGTTTACTTCGTCAACTAAAAATTGCTTTTTTTGTTCTCTATCTGTAACTCTCTTTTGCTTGTCATTTTAAAACTTATTTGTGAAGACACTTGATCACAGAAATCCAAACTGACATGTCAACATTATTTTGTACAAATCTACAAAATGGTCGAATTCATTACCGACCAGTTTTGGATCTCTCAATTACATTATTCAATATCAAACTGTCATGCTCTCTTGGCTGTGTTACAAACAATAGATTCCAATGACAATGACCTAATATCCCTCTCTCCATTTTCATCAAAAAACCAGAATTCAATAGAAAATTTGGTCTGGAGGGTTGGCGCCAATTTAGTTACTGACCATGCTATGGTTTTAAGACAAGCGTTTTTTACAAGGCAACTCTGTTCCAGCCTGTGGCGCCTAGTGTGTGTGTGATGATGAGATAGAGAGAGGGACTCTTTGGTATTGAAGAGAGAGTATTGGTTGGGCTACTTTGGGTGGTCTGCTTGGGTTGGAAAGATTAAGAATAGCCACCCAACTAGGTTTTAGTGTGTGATTTCACTGGAGCAAAGGTCCCCACTACAGTACTATTCATGTAAACACTTCACATTCTTATGCTCTTTTATTTATGTTCATATTTTAATGTATGTATGTTAACTATTGTGAATTCCTAAAACCACATCTTTTGCAGTTTTACTTTCACGAATGCAGAATATTGAAAGGACTGGACTATACCAGAGCAAAAAAATCACCAAGGCAATCACGTGTGATGGTAATTGCAAAATGAGGGGGATTTGAGCAGTGTTTTCGCACATTTTTACAATAAATAGAAAGAAAATAATACATTTTTAAAAATAAGTGGACAAAGTGCCATGCGTAGTATATTTTTACGCACCTTACCCTAACTTTCATAATTTTGACAATTTTGCATCTGGAAGTGCTTCTGTATGACTACTTTAGGGGTCATTATCATACTGAGATGGATTGATAGAAGACATATCTCAATTTTGACCTTACAACTGATCATCAATTGGCTAAAAGATGTGCTTATCTTCATGTTCTCCAATTAAAGCTCCTAAGTTCAGGCTTTAGACTCTGCCAAACTTGATTTTAATCGGTTGATGATGATTGAAAAGTGCTTATTATCATTTGAATTAATTCTTTTAGGCCAGGGAGATTTTTCATTTATTTATTTATTATTATTATTATTTTTTATCATTCTTGAATACATACTTGTTTATCAATCCTGTTATTTTCAACAAATCCAAGGTTATTGCACTTGTATTATTGTATTATTAGTAAACGTGTATTTACCTAAGTCTCATAAAGTAGGAGCAGTATAGCGAAAGCGGTAAAATTTAAGCCCGCACAAAATGAAATTGGAGTAAAAGTATAGGCAGAACATGAGATCCGGCATCCAAATTTAAGCCGCGTGAAATGAAATAGGTGCAAAAGCACAAGCTTAGCATTCGGGCTGCATCCGTTTAGAAGATTTCCAGTATGGTGAACAAAAGCGTCAACAAGTGAGATGGTAAAGAATGGGAAAGGCCCAAAGCTCACTTATTACAGGTGAAAATAAAAAGCCCAAAGAAGAAGGCAGCAACCCAAATTTTGTGATTTCGCAAGTCAAATTAACAAGCCCAAAAGAAGTTGCCCATTGTTGGCAGCTACAGTAGTCATTCAGAAAATTCAAATAGTTCAAGCTTAACGGTTATGTTATGAGCAATCCGGTGAAGCATGGTGATAGACAAAAATTGCCTCAGTTTCCACAGAGTCTCTCAGCTGTATGGAGAGTAATTTACCTCTGACTGCATCAAGAATCCAATGCAGGGAACCTGAGATTGAGAGGATACAGTTGCTTGGAAGTTGGAACAGTTGTGAATTATGCCTGTCTGACCAAATATGATATATTGACGCCCTGAGAGGTTTTTGATTTTCAGTGATAGGATGGTCAATTGATATAGGAATTCGTTCATTGGAGAACAATATGGCCCACATCTTGTTTGAATGAATGACCAAATGGGCTGTGAGAATTCACAGGAGAATTACAGAAAGGGCAGTTGTTGTCGTAATGAAGGAAAGCCATATTCTTTTGGTGTGGGTAGCCCGTTATGCACAGCTAGCAATCCGATAATTCTGTGTCTAGGAATAGATGGAGAACTCCATACAAGATGAGCCCAATTAACGGGAGGCGAGGATGCCATGAAGAATGGGATGGTGTGCTTGAGGGAAATTTTACCTGTTGGTGATGGGAACCAGAGTATGAGATCATCGGTAGAAGGATTTGGTGGGTGGCTGTTAGCTAGTGTTGGGATGCGGTTAAGAATGGAAGGAAAAGGATCAAAATGCTCCATCAATAAAAACTGGTCAAGAGTAGCAAATCTGTTAACTTGGGATGAATCAATGATTGCAGACCTAAAGGAATGGTGGTGTCGTCCTGTTTGGCACCAATTATCGTACCAAACGTAAGTTTTCTTGATGATTATGTTTTCTTTGGTAATTTGATGTCTGAAGAACATTCTAGTTTGTCTGATACTTCCTTTGATAGTGAATGTGACAGTGAATTGAACTTGCTAAAGCATGATAATTCTCCTTGTGATGCATCTTGTGATGAATTGGCTAACATATAATCTGATAATGCATGTAATGTTGAATATGATGATGATGATATATTTTTTGTTTGCTTTTGTTGAATTGCATAATGATTTCTTAAGTTTAAAAGCTGAATATTACGAATATTTGAATAAATTAAAAGCAATGGAACTTACAACCAAAAGTCAAATGTTAGTCCATGACTAAACTTAAGATAGAAAAATGGTACATGAAAGCAAAGTAAAGCTTTACAGTCTAAGGAAGATGAACAAAGAATAAGGAACTAGAATGTTAATTGTCGAAAGTAAGTAAAGCTGGGTTCTCCCGACCCTTTGTTTTGTCACCTACCTGCTAAGTAACTCATTTGGCTGCTCTCAGAAACAATGGTGCCATAGGATAGTGCCGCTGAAAACATAGGAATAGTTCCATATGTTGGCATAGGCATCTCCGATGGAAGATTTGGCAATGGAGCCTCAAAATTCAGGACATGAATTGCTTGCTTAATTGAAGGCCTAAGATTGCTATCTAGTTGAGCACACCAAAGGCCGACAATCATCAAGCATTCCATTTCTTTCTTATCAAAATCTGCAGACAGTTTTGGGTCCGCTGCTTCAAGAAGCCTTCCTATTCCATAGAGGTACCGGACCCACTCTATCATAGTTATCTGACACTCTTCTTGAGCACTACAGTCGATCGGTTTTCTTCCACATGCTATTTCTAATGCTACAACTCCGAAGCTATAGACATCTGATTCCTTACTGGCCTTGCCTGTAATGACACAATCGGGAGCCATGTAACCAATGGTCCCTGCCAAAATTGTTGTTCGCGATCCTTTTTCGTGGTCTACAAGCCTAGCTAATCCAAAATCCCCAAGCTTGGCATTGAAACTGGAATCCAACATAATGTTGCTTGATTTTATGTCCCTGTGCAAGACACATTGTTCCCATCCTTCGTGAAGATAGAGCAATGCCGAGGCCAAGCCTTTAGCGATTTTGTATCTCACAATCCAAGTTAAAAAGTTTTTTTCTCTAAAGAGATGAGAATCTAAACTTCCATTAGGCATGAACTCGTAAACAAGCAATAGTTCTCGTCTTTCATGGCACCAACCAATGAGTTGCACAAGGTTCCTATGCCTCAATCGACTAATAATCATAACTTCTGATGCATACTCCTTTAGACCTTGTCTAGAACCCCTTGACACCCTTTTCACAGCAACATAGGAGTTTAAGTCCCTCAAGAAACCTCTGTAAACCTCACCAAACCCTCCCTCTCCGAGTTTCTCTTCCAGCATGAAGTTATTGGTAGCACGAGCCAAGTCCTTGTAAGAAAACTTTCTAGGTCCTGTACCTCTTTCAAAATTGTCAACCACAGACATGACAAAGCCAGGACCAGCTTTGTTTTGACTCCCGTGCTTTTTCTTGCAAAAGAGGAACAAAACCAAACTCGATACACCAACCAAAATGCCTCCAACAACAGCCAATCCACCCACTAATCCTTTCTGGCTTTTACTTGATTTGGGGTCAGGATCAGAACTTGGTGTGATTACTCCTGGATTTGTTGGAGTCGTTATGTTTTCTTCAATTTCCAGTGTTGAACTGAAGTTCCATGAGTATATACTATGCATAGCTGATGCATTTGCTGTTGCAGCTGAAAAGCCAATTGTAACCCATTCTGGCAAGCAGTCCCTTAGATCAACGAAGTAATGAAGGCTTTGTTTGAAAGTGGTTCCCATTCTATTGGTATCAGTGAAGAAAACACTGAGAGTTTTTGAAACTGAATTATAACGAATCCAAACATCATTTATTTCCCCATTCAAAATATTAGTACTGCTCAACCATTTTACAACATTAACAGATGTCATAGAGTTGATGTCAATACCTACATGGTTAAATTCTGGGTCCCAGCTGTTCTGAAAAATATCAAACTCCACTGCAACAAATGATTTTTCTGTACTGAAATCACTTCGGAGGCCAAGATTGCCACCACTTGCTTCGACATCTGGGATTTTTGATCCTGCAGGCGCAAGGAAGAACGCAATCCCATCACCATAAGATTCTCTGTGATGCGAATTGATGACAAAACTGAAGTTGGTAGTGAAGTCTGCCAGATTTCTTGAGGCCCTGTCCCAAAGGTGCATCGGCTTGGAATATGTGGCTCGGCCAATGCTTACATTCATAGGTGAATCACACTTGTTCGGGGTGAGTTGGATAAAACCGTTTGCCGGATTAGCTCTTTCATAGGTTATGTTTAAATCATAGGGAGTGAAGCTGTTGAAGTTAAATGACAACGGAGCTGCAAAAGGGATGATTAAGAAAAAGAAAACGTTTATGATCATGGATAGAGGATGACTTTGTGATTGGAGATAAATCTCATAGTTCCAAACAACCATGGCTATAAAGGAGTTCTCGTGTTATATATGATTGCAAATTCTCATTTGAATAGCTTATGGTAGCATAAGTCTTGCAATGCAAGGTTATATATTTTTCTTTCTTAGTCTTAACTTCTTATGGATTCATTGTTTATTTCGTCAACCAAGTTGTTGGGGAAAAGGTTTTGTTCCTTATTTTTGTTGTTGTTTGTCTCTCTTTTATTGAAAGTATATGTAAAGACACTAGATCAGTAAAATCCAAGTGACATTTCAATATCATTAAAAGGTGTAAAAGAATGCGACCACACCTAGACTACATGATACGTCGATCGGTTTCTATCACTTATGTAATATGTGTTTAGTTTCCCAAAATTACACATTGGCATCCATTTGAAGTTGCACGTAATTATTTTATGACCTAATAAAATGGCATAATTATATTTTAACCCCCGAAAGGATTATATTGCCCCGAACCTTATTTTATCTGCTATGTGATATAAGTTAATGACCGTTGTACCCTTGAGTCTCAATTTATTGAATTGTGACAAATTATCATTTTGCCCTTTTTGGACCTTGTTATTTAAATTTAATGTGAAATTACCGTATTACCCTCAGATGATTTTGGGTCGGGAAAGGACCCGTTTAATGATCCGGATCCATGACGAGTTGGGTCGTTACAGAATGGTATCAAAGCAATGGTTTGAAAACCTTAGGACGACAGGTGGAGGCCTATGTGGGATTGCATGGGAAGTTGTTTGTAATTGCATGTGAGATTATTTGTTACGTGTTTTGATATTTGAAGGAGCATGCTAGATCGTTTACTTGTCTATGTGTTACATGCTAAAGTGTTTAAATGTTTGAACAGCATGTCTACTTGTTTATTTGTTTACCTGTTTAATTGCCCACGTGTAAATTTGCTTGCGTGATCACATGCTTGTATGTTATATGTGTGTAGCACAGATTTAAATGATCCACGTGTAGGTGTTATGTTTTTAGTAGGTAATTGTTTAGCATACGCACTTCTGTGTTGTATTAATTCTATGGGTTATCACATATGATTAGGGTGGGTATCAGCATTGTGAGCAAGGATGATGTGAATAACACAATCTTCTGAGTCCGGTTTGACCTGAATACGTTGTTCCATTGGGAGTCTTCTTCCTAGAGACTAGTAACGGTGAAATGGTTTGATCTTAGGTGTCTTCCTGGACGGAAGTCCTCATTTTCTTGCACGGGTGAGGGTTTGTGTTGTGCTTCTTTGGTGTAGCGAATGGACTCTTGGGATGGATTTTTTTTTAGAAGTTCATTAATGTTTAAGATTGTAAATTTGTCTCTTAGATTATCGTTTTGGGAGTAAAAGTTGAGGTTGATCTTGAGTTGGCGACGGGATGAGGAGGTTGTACCTTTTGTTATGATTCCCAGTGAAGGAGGCAGAAACTAAGTGTGATGTTATTTGGTGACCATAGAGTATTGGTCACAGATTGTGTTGAGCCAGGATGAGGAGTGACCTCTTGGGCTTGGTGGCCTATTCTATTTGATTTATTTGTTTTGTGGCCTTGTGGGCGGGTGTGTGTGAGCGTGTGCAGGTGGCACCAGAAGGCTACCACACTGAGTGAGCTACGGGCACATAAATCAGATGAAATCGACGTGGACATTCCATTGTGTTGGATAGTAATTGTACCGATCGGCTGGGTAATGATAGTGTCGGGGGTGTAACAGTTGTATACCCTTTTGTTTGGTTGGATGGATCAGTTGTAGGTATGACTTGAGTGTCCAGTTAGATACCAATTAGAGAGACCACTGGTTGTAGTTGTTGTAGACTGTAGCTTGTGTGGTTGATTGTTTGGCTTAGCGTTGTTGTCTCTCTTAGGGATTGTTCATATAGCGTTGCCACGTAGGATTTTTAATTTTCTTATTGTGGGTTGCTAACTATGGTGTTGAGTATCATAAGTGAGGTGTGTTTTCATGTCAGGTAATGTCACTTTCGAGGGAGCGGTTGGTAGTGGATGTTTGTTGTTTATAAGGGAGTGGAATTGTGAAGTTATTTTGGGAAGAATGATTATGAGGTATTAGTACTTGAAGTTCCTGTAATTGAAGAGTAAGTCAGTTTTGGAGTGAACCCAGTGTCCAGGAAAACAGTAGCGATTGATCGCATTATTGATGGTTTTAAGGAGATAGTTAGGTGTTGAGCATTTTGGATTCTTATGCTCATTTTTTTTTGAGGATTTGTTGGCATGGTATTGACGCGTGGATGTTCTTTTCTAATGGTAAATGGTGGTTGTTATGGGGAGCAGTAAGCGTTGTGCTTGTTCTTTGGTTACGATAATATTATCTTGAGGATGTCTGGAAAAAAAATCTTTTAGTAGTGACTTGATGGTCTGATGGAATAATAGGTTTGAACGGTTGTTGGAATGAGTGATAATGGAGGTGTTATGATGTCATGGTGTGATGTTTAGTGTTGATGAGCATGATGGTTTCAGGTATAATCTGAGGACGGACTAGGGATTGTGAGTTATTTGTTGTGTGTTGTCAGATAGGTGATGGGTTGTGTATTAGTTGAAAGTAATTGGGAATAGTTTAGTCTCTCGAGCTAGTGAGGGCGGTGTTACCAGGTAGGCACTTTTTCTTTGGTGAGTCGTGGGTTGATGTAATTGGCGTCATGAGTCTTGTTCCTTGTGTCCCTGTGACGTGAGCGTTGGTGCTCTTATTTGATTGGTTTTTGCAAGCATAGGTGTTGCGGGGTAGCGTATGCAAGGTTTCGATGTTGACTGCGTATGACGGTTTGTTTGTGGCGAGGTCGCCTAGAGTTGCGGACGTAGTTCTGTATGTGCTTCCTAGTTGGTCATTCTCCTTGTATATAAGGAGTTCAATTCATCTTAAGTGAGATTGGGTGTCCATGGTTGGACAATAGATGAATAGCGTATGACAGGTGGTTGGGTACATTTAGGTGTGAATCGTTGGTCTCTTGTGAGAGCAGGATTTGTTATCCTTTTCGTTTGTTTTAGTCCTGGTAAGGACGTCATTTGCTAGAAGTCTTGTTCTCCATTTAGAAATTGTGCACGTCCGTGGGCGGTCAGGCTTGTGAGTGAATTGTTGTGCTGTTGGGGTTCATCGGTAGAGGTACTTGTTGAATGGGTCGACTCACTCCTACAGAGGGAGGTGGAGTCTTTAAGTTTTGTAGTGCTTGTTCTGAGAGTGGTTCCGACTGGTGGAATGACAGGCACGGGTTGTCAAGTAAGAGTTGTGTTTTCGATATTTAGTACTATCGGTGATGGTTAGAGAATGTGTCGTGCATCGTGGTTTGAGGATGATTAGGCGATGTGATTTGAGTTGTGCATCTTGATGCTTTTATTGATGTCTGAATTGAACAGTGACTTGAGGACCAATGTGGGTATCGTTTGAATGCTAAGTAGCTAGAGGGAGAATGTGGGATCTTATCGAGGAATAATAGGAATGGTTGACTTTGGTCTTGAGGTTTTCAAAATGAAATGATCGTATTGAGTGTTTTGACGAGGTCAGAATCGAATCGAATAAGGTTATGATGTTAATTATGTGTTGTGGGTGATATGAGATAACTGAAAGGCTTTTAGGTTGATTGATGATTGTGGTATTGGCGATGGGTTACTTTAGCTTGTTATGATCGTGAGATCGAGGAATGATTATCGTGTTGCTTTTAGCATATTATTTTGTGACTATATGGTTATTGAGGTGATAGATTGATTAGGGAGTGAATCTTGTGGTTATTTTATGGACTGTAAAGGGTTGTATTTGAGGCTTAGACCTAAGGACAAGAACGATGTCTGTGTCAAGATCGGATTGAGGATGAGAATGGCCTGGCCAACTATTTCTCCTGAATCAATCTTTCTTTGACACGATGTCGGGTCAAAGGTCAATGATCATTCTGACTTGTTGGTGATAGTAAGAGTATGGTACCGTACGCTGTGTTGGTTTGACAATGTGAATTTGCATAAATTATTTTGGGTGACGAAAGGTGTTAAGTGGTATTGGGTGTTTGATAATGGGTTAGTGGTACAATCGTTGATTATTGAGAATCTCATTTTGAGGATTTGTGTTCAGAATACAAGGTGATACATTTTATTTTTTTGGTGACTCATGATTATATGATTGTTGAGAGATTCATCATTTAGTTATCTTAAGGTTGATTAGTATGATAATTGCCGGTAGGCGTGATTGGTGGTCGTTGTGTGATTATGTAGTTGCATAGCCGTATGTTAGATGATAGGTGTTGATTTGACAGAGATGTATTGATCTGAGTTTGAGTCTGATTCTCGGTGGGGTCTGGTTTGTCCTATCAAGGGACGGGTCGAGAAAGAATGTTGTCATGTTCAGGGGTCTTGTGACAATTTTTCTTTCAAGTTTTGTATAGCGGTGTAAAGAGGACCAGTGTTAGTTTTAAGTTAAAGTATAGAATTTAGAAGGTTTGGTGAACAGTGTTGCGAGTTGATCGGTTGGTCAATCATACATCAACCTTCGCAATAGCACGAATCATTGTAAAATAGGGCTATTGGTCGGGTAAGTCGAACCACTGGGACTGCGCTAGTCTTAAGACAACCTAAGTATCTAGAGTCATTTTAGAATGATAAGGTGTAATAAGGAGTTGTTGATTGGTTTGTCACTAAGCTAGTAATTGAAGTGTGCATAAAACAAGAATGCTAGTAAATGAGAGTTAGAGATAATAAAAGGGGAAACTAGGGAAGTGAATCCACCTACGCCCTAAATACATGCTAAATCAAGACTAAATTGGGGATAAACACTATATAAGTAATGATCAAGAATTATGTAGCAACACATAGTTGCTTCATAACCAATAAAAAGTTCATGAGATTAAAACAAGAATGGTCTATCAAAAGACAACACATTTGGACTACCTAGACTAGGGTGTAGTATCAAATACATTAACTTAAGCAAAAGACCATCAAGCATTCAATCAAATGATGAAGCACATGAAGGTAAGAATCAAGCATAGTCCATCAAAGGAGGTACCTAAGCAATGGAATATCAAG